TCATGTACTTAATTTTGTTCCGCAGAGTAGCATCTTTGAGGTTAAGCTCTTGCTCATTCTCACTCCCTTACAAATTTCCCAGGACAGCCCCCACCAGCTCATGTAAATAAATGCACTTTGCAGCCCCCTGTGGACTTAAGTAGTTCTGTGGTGCTTCAGACTGTCCAGGAGAGGCCCCTCAGAAATAATCCCTGTGATTATATATATCCTTTGTCCTTTTCTCTTATTCCAACTGTGTGGCATACGTCCAGAAGAGAGAGCTACTTGCATGTAAGCAGGTCTCAAACAATTCAGATGTTAAGATTTATCTTTTTATCTAAACTCTGAGATACACTAAAGAGTATAAGACTGGGGGGTGTCTCAGTTTCTAAAGCAGCAAAATTCATGAACCTGGCTGATGAAATAATGATTTATTTTCTCATGGGTCAATCAAATGTATGTTTCCACATCATATCTAAGAATGTGTAAGTTTTCATTTGAATCATTTCCCCTGATCAACACATTTAAAGAGCTAAACTCACACTACAGGTTTTGTCTTAGAGGGTTCACTAAAGCAGCATGTATATCCAAGCCTCTCTTTTCATGAAAGTTATAGGAATTGGGTATTTCTGAGGCCTCTCTGAAATATGGTTGGAATTAGCCTGTGGATTCTAAAGTTATTGGGTCAGAAAAGAGAACGAATAGTTGAATGCAGACATGCATAGATACTGTGGCACAGATTAGCATTTTACACCAGAGGCTGGATTTTACACTGTTCGGGGGCTGTACGGTTAACTATGGTGGCAATTTATTTTGGAACTCCATAACATACTTATATGTAATAAATCTACAGATGCCCATTTTTAAAAAATACTGTTTTATCAGAAAGGCCCCTGTACTTTAGGGTTGGAATTTAGGGTAGAGTACAGCCCAGTTATATCTTGAACCTGGTCTGAGGAAGTTTTTTCTGGTCTGCATTTTCTCTGGGACAGACTTAAAGAACTGGAAGAAAAGTCAAGAAAGTGGGAGTCCAGATCAGAAGATACACACCTTATAAGCTCTATGCAAGACAAATTAAGTGAGAAAGAAGAGATTATCAAGCAGCTGGTGGTAAGATTTCCTTTTATATGGAATCTGGAATCTGTTGGAACGCTGAATTCAGTGTTTCACACTTTGCTTCAGACTGATTCTTTCTGTTCTGGAATACTTGGACAAATACATGTTTCCATATATTCCAACTTACAATGAATAGATGTTTCCATAACTTTCTTTCCCCTCAGGAAGGAAGGAAATTTCAGCATTCACTTTCAGCCAACACTGAATCTTACAGGAACCGATCATTTTCTTTTAACCCTAATAGAGGATGCTTGACTCCTTCCATGAAGGTAAGATGGGCAATGCAATTAAAATCATGAATCATGATGTTTTATTGCTATTTGAATCATACAGATAATCAGAACAAAAAAAAAAAGTCTCATTAATTTTTTTATGGTAATGTTATTCAGTAGAATTCTTTCCAGTAAGCCAACATACAGTTAGGTGCTGAGTATAACTTCAGTTGAAGTATATATGCACATAGATACAGGTATTTAAGCAAGTACAGAACTCCAAAGATGTCAGTCTTACACTGGGATAAGCACAGCCATTGCTTGCAGATTTGGGAGTTGCTATTTGGGGTATTGCATGCATCAAGGAAAATCATGAATTGTGTTTGGGCTGCTGAGGATTTGCCCTTTGTCATTCCAGCCCCTCTATATGATACTGTCTATAAATAGTCATGGACAGAAGGCAGTAAAGGTGGTGAAAAGCACCTAACAGCTCTGCAAAGCTATAGACTTTGATCTATCTAAAACTTCAAGGTCAAATACACAAGTTGTTTTAATTGGACTAACTCATCCATGGATCCTCACGGTATAACCTGAGAATTTATCTTAAATGCCTACAGAAAAAGATGGGAATCTTCATTTTTGGCTGTACCTCACAAGATATCTAGGAATGAGGTATTGTTGAGGTTTTATAGTATAAAGAAAAATGCATGTGTAATGAAGTTTTCTGTTACAATAAAAAACAGCAGAAGAAAAAAGTTGAGGTGCCCAGTCGTGTTGTCAGTGTTCCGAATTTAGCTTCCTACGCAAAGAGCTTTTTGAGCTGTGACTTGAGATCGAAAAGAAGCACTTCGCAAATAACAAAATCTACAAGCTTAGACCGGAGTCCTGGCTGCCTCAGGGTGGGCTCTCCATCACCACAGTCCTCAGACAGCAGTGCTGCCACAAGGTATTTGTCCATTTTGCAGTGACTTTTAAGATGATAAACGAATTGGTATTCAGAATCCTGTAGGCATTCAAACACATTAGAAATTATTTCAATTTGGAAATAAAACAGTGACGTAAGGTTCTTGTCGTGCAGTGAACTCATGTGTCGAGTTCTCTGCAGAAGGACCCAGAACTTTACTGCAGAAGCAGGCTATAATCACTGTTCAGCAGAGCTTACCATTGCAAATCCTCCTGGTGCAAATAAACAGAGGAGTTGCAAGTATTTAGCGAAGAATGTTGTTGATTGTAATCATGGCCATTTAAAACTTCGGGCACGTATCAGTGTTTCTGTTAAGGATGTGTTTTCCTTCTTACTTTTTTCTTCACTTTGTACTTCATAGATGTAGATGGCATATTTTTACTTTAGTAGATATTTGAATGAATCTAGGCTAATCCTTTGGCAAAGGGTTTAGAGACTTAAAAATTGATTAGCAGATACTTAACCAAGAACTTCTTACCCTGATGTTTTTTCTTGAAAAGCTTTAATTTTTCTTCAAATTGAGTAACTATTTAAGCAATGTTTAGTGGTTTATAAATATGACTGAACTATCACTTCAAGAGATTGATTTAGTTAACTTTATACAGTTATAATAAGTAATTTTCTAAAAAGACCCTACCGCTATACTTCAGGACAAAAGCCAGCCCTCTCTCCTGTCTTCTCCTGGAGATTAGTTACCCTGTAAAGCGCGTGCTGCAGAGTTCTTTCCTTGAAGGCAGATGGTGCTGATTGCTGCCAAAGACAATAACCCAGGACATGGGATTGGATCCAGTTGGGCAATTCCTACATCTTAAAGATAAAAGCATTCTGTGTCGTGCCAGATGACTGCCAAGGCAAATCGGTTTTGTATTTTAAAGGGAAACATACAGGGAGACTGAGAGTAGCTTGGCTGCTACTTACTTACTCATTTGAAACAATCAATCATAAGTGAAGTCATATTTGCTACTATAAGCTAATCAAAATTAGTATGTTAAAAAAACATCCAGAATGCTGAAAAATCAGGGACTATGTAATAGGATTGATTATAAAAGCCAGTTAATATTCAGATAAATCTTTCCATTCCAAATAAAATGTTTACCCATTTTTTATTGAATAAATTGTATTTCATATTTTAAGAGTAAATTGGAGATGCCATTTTCTGATTTTCAAGACTTCATATTCTTGAAGCATCCTTTTTTAATTTTTTGAGATGTCAAGAATTGTGTTCAAACATTTCTCCACAGCTGTTTAGCTCTCCTTCATGCTTCCCTCTGTGTTATTACCAGTGCTCCCATTACCTGCCTAGCACAGATCCCAGTAGAAACTGTAGCTGGCACCTTTTGGACTCATCCAGTTCATGTGAGCACAGATCCATTCATAGGATCATGAGTTTTTCCAAGTAAAAAGTATTAAGTATTGGTAAGATTTTAAGTGAGTGAGTGATGCTAATACATATTTATTTGCACAGGATACATGGCAATGAACCACCACAGACCAAAGATGACCAAAACCAAGACCCTCAGCATCAACAATGGTTTACTAAATACTTTTCATTTTAAAGGAAATTATTTCCGTACTTCTCAGAATTACTAGAAAAGGTGTTTCTGTTTTCTTTTCGGAAATGATAATCCCATATACAATTTAGAAAAAAATTATGTAGTTTCCAAGTAAATAATTAAGGACAACTACACTTTCTTACATCTAATTACCATGGAGTTATAGGCATGGATTTCAGAAAAATTCTTTTTTTTAACAATCTCTGTAAAAAATGAAGAAAAAGCAAAATTCTGGATACTGTTATGTGAAGACCCTTTTTCATCAAGAGACTGTACCACTCTACAGTTGTAACTGAATATGCAATTTGGTCTCCGATATGTCCTGTCAATCTGGCTTCAGGTGAAAAAAGATCTTACACTTCTTGTAGGTTTATACATTTTCTTCATCAGCTGTTTAAAATAACTGCTGCATATAATAATGTAATTTTAAAACTTTTTAATAGGTTTTTGTTATATTAAGCTGTACAGCATGCAGTATCCCTCGAAGAATAGCATGTTTATAGCAGGTTGGTTTAGAAATACTTTCTGGTTTGATTAATAAGCTGTTTTGTATAGTCAGCATTGTGATAAAATATTCCTGTTACACTTCAATACGTGTAAAACAAATTAGGATAATATGTAAGTATGAAAATTAAAACTGGCTTGTAAATCATCCATTTCCATGTTTTGCAAAACAGTGCTATGTTATGTTGAACTGTGAGTCAGACTGATACACCAAGTTCCTGATTTATGGGAACTACGTACTTGTACATTTTCTTTCAATACTGTTTATACCCACCAAAATGGAAAGCAGGCGAATGTCTCCATTCATCAGATCATGCCAGATAACTCATTAATGGGAGGAAAGATACCCATGAAGAAATTAACCCTCATTTAATTATAAAGAAGTACTCTTGAGCTGATCTAGATACAGACAATTCTAAGGGTGCTAAGGACAATTACTGGATCACAAAACATTTAAATCTTCCAGTAAAACCAAACAGTAAAGTATTTTCATCATACCAGCAAAGATTTAGTTAGGGGAAAGCTAGGGCCACCTTTTCTAGAAGGAACAGGATGCATTCTGGAAAACACACTTCTACCAGAAAGCGTCCTGAATAGCAACTCTGGATATTTTCCAGTGAAATATAAAACCAATCCGTATTTTTGAAAAAAGAATTAAAAAAAAATTATTTTGCTTAACTGTCGTAATTATTTATATTTGTAGTACAAATTACATTATAACAAAAAGCATACAAAGTAATACCAACACCACTGCTTTGCATTGTTGAAAATATTCAGATATGTAAAATCAAAGATCATGTTTGCTTCATTGGGGCAGGAATATTAGCAGAAGCTTGTTCTAGGTAAGCTAATGGACCTTGAGGCATTTCTGCAGGCTTTTTGTGCTGTACGCTGATATCTTCTAGGACCTGCTGCCAGTGTCGGAGTTTACTCAAGTGCTTCTGAATTAATGCTTCTTTTCTCTGCAATTCGTTTCTTAATTCTGAAACATCCTATGGATGAAAAAAATGTGTATTAGTAAACAGACAGTATTCATAAGAATAACCACCTCACATAAGAATAATCACCTCACCAAAAGAGCATGTAATTTTTTTAGCTTGAGTTTTCAAGTTGATCTTATAGGGATTCTAATTATGAGGTGTCTTGTGAGCAGCACTGTGAATACCTTAGTTCCACTCTCCCAGGTCACATATTTCAGAGATCATGACTCTCAGCAAAATCTAACTAGTTTGTTTCTCCCAGTGAAACTATCATCTGTGTTCCAGTACTCCAGAGAAGAAGGCATCCAGCTGCCCCAGGTTCATGGCAAAAGCTATGATAACAGCTATGCTAACAGTTCTACCATCTTAAGATACAGCATCATGTTAAGAAACCCAAAATTAATGTGAACAAGGTGATCAACTGTACTGATACACAGCCTATCCGATCTAGCACAGCATAGGTAATTAATTTAAATATACCTCTTTAATTACTTGCTCTGGTTTCTGGACTGACAGCTGCAGTCTTTTTTGTAGGAAAAAGCATTCCGTTTGTCTTGCAACATCCAGAAACTTCTGGATGCACTGATCAACACCTAAACATAAAATAACAAAATAGAAAGGATTTCAAAAAAAGTATCAAGCTGATACTGGTAGTTGTCTGCATGCTATAAAAACACTTTTCACAGTACTTTATAGAACAAAAATCTTCACGTTTACTAAAATTAAACGTTGATAAACCCAGGATGTGCATAAAGTCTCCGTGTAAAACTTTGTTTTGTGAACTTCTCAGAACTTCTTTTAAAAAGGTGCAAGACAGCAGCTCTTTTTACCCAAGTTTCATTGCATTTTTGACAATTACAAAGAATGATAAAATAACTTGAGAAATTGACTGAAGAAAGAAAACATTTCACTGCACGCCCAAGCAACAAGCTCAATGTAAGGTTCTAATACAGACATATTTAGGAGAATATTCTGCCTTCATATGTTATGCACTACTGTTTTGATAATAAAAGCCCATCCCAGCACATGAACACGACCCAATAACCAGAAAAGAGTTTTCAAAATGCTGTTTTCAAAATGGCATTTGAGAGTCAGGCTTCAAAAATTTTTCAGAGAAAAGTATGATCCTAAACAGTAGTCAAGGGCCATTTTTTTTAGCTTTCTGTGTGTACCAGCTCAGTATGAATTACGCCTCCCGCAGAAGTGCCTGTCACACACGTCTTAAAGCATGGTTACTAAACAATCTAGGCTTTCCCTCTCCACCTTTTATTATTGCTTTGCCTAGCTTCATAAAGCACCGTATTAGCTTCCTAGTTTTTGAACCATGTATTTCACTGCACGTTAATGTAACGCCACACAACCCCTGAAGCCGGCTGGCACATAGACTTTTCCACAAGACCCCCGTCATTCCCGGGGAGGTTTCTTTCCACGTGAATCTCCCACGGCTGCGAACAGCGTTGCGCCTGGGAAGGGGTGAGCAACCCTGAGTTAGCCCAGAGTCATCCCAGAGTCACCGTTCAAAGATCCTAAAATGGTTTCTAAACCTCTTTTGGCCTCAAATGACAACGCATACCCCCTCACCCCTCAGCCAAGCCCAAATGCAATTGCAAAACTTCAAGAGTAGTTTTAGGGGAAGCTGGCCCACAGCCTTGCCCCCCAGCCATACCCCTCGGTATTTCAGGCCTGTAGAATAAAACAGTGGCGTGTTCGAAGCTTCTGTGAAGCCGAACCGAGACAGAGCACCTTGGCTCTGCCCGAAAGCCGCCAAGAGATCAGCCCGCCCTGGCGGGCGTGCGGCGGGACCACTGGGCGCCGCGGCGACACCCCACCATCCACCCTAAGCCCTCACCGGTGCGGATCTCCTCCTGGTCCGTGCCATTCACGTAGTCCTGGCTCACCAGCGAGGCGAAACAAGCCTGCAAGAGAGGGAAGCGCGGAGCTAGAAGAGCGGCGGAGGACCGGCGCCGTGAGAGCAGCGCCCACCCACCGCCTCCCCCATC